ACATCATGATGAATTCCAACACCACCATTCCTATTCCAATACAATCCATAACTCCCACTTCATCTTGTCTAAGTTAGTGTGCTTGGAATCAATTCTTTTTTGTTTCCTTTCATCCCATACTTCTTTTCCTTTCTTCTTTTGGCATGGGTGTGGCACTTCATGCATTCTTTTCAATTATTTAGCTGCTGTACCTCAAGCTTTCTTCACATGGGTTTTCAAAGGTGTTCAATTATGGCTGCCTTTTGCTGCCAACCCATGTGGGTTTTCTTTTGGTTGCTGGAAAAAACGATTCTTCTGAACTAGGCTTGGTGTAGGAAGGCCTGAGATTTCAATATGTATCCAATGGGGCTCAAATTTGGATATGTCATAATAGACACCCATTGGAACAACTTTTATGTAGAATGTATTCCCATCTGAGTAGTACAAGTGTACATTTTGGGCTCTGCAAGTTGACTGCCGAAAATAAACTGGAATTGACTTCATTTCTTTTCTTTTCTTTCCTTTCTTTTTAGCTTCACATGCATGCACATTCTTTCTCTTTAATAGCTCCAACATGTACCTATATAAAATCATGATATTAGAATGTAACAATTATTGCCCAATTGATAAGAGTTTGGGTGCCACTTCAAAGAGAGATAACCAAATAGAGAAATCAAATGAATTAGGCTATATTTCAATGAAGTGCAAACGGATTCGTAAAATGCAATGGAACATTCTAATTGGTGCAAAAATCAATAAAAGAAAGTACTAACAAATATAGATTAGGGATAGAAATTGTTATAATTATGTATTTATCAGTAAGTCATCCCACTCATCATAATTTCTTTTACCACGCAACAAACCCCCAAGTGAATTTTCAGCTAAAGGAAGACCCTTACACCTTCTAATAATTTCACTACTGATTTCTTTTGGAATCGGATGAAGGGAAAATTAGGTGTAGGGATTTCTATCTAGAAGCTATGAGAGAATAAATCATTTAGCCTATGAAATCAAATAAAGGTGTAAACATTTTTCTCGCAAGTCTCAACCTAGGTCCCAATCTTTATAGGTTTATGAAAGTTTGCACCTTTGACACTAATATCACATATTAGAGAGAATGTAGAAAGTGAGGTTACCTTTGGAGCGTATCTTGAATCCCAAAATGGTATTCAAGTAGAGGGAGTTGTCCCTTAGTTGTTGATTCTCCACCTTGTTCTCCAATAGGCATAATATGATTATGCCTTCCCAAAGTATCTTCACAAAGGTAGAATGAGAATAAGAGAATAAGGAACGTCCAAGAGACGAAGAGGTGCTAGCTTTTCTTCTCTATGGTGGCCGGCCAAGGTAGTGATAGTGAGGGAGGTTTGATGTTTCCTCTCTTCCTCAATGGCTAACATGAAAACCCTAAGGAGGTGTTGTGCTATGACTATAATTATATAGAGACATATTGTCACACATGTGCCACTAAAGAGAACACATGTGTCGCACCCCCTCATCTCTTGGCCTTTTTGGGTAATCTTATAATGTGCCACCCTTTGCCTAAGTCTGTAAGGTCCATTTTTCTTTAATTTTTAAGTCATATAGAACCAAAACTAAAGTTTCATAACTTTATTTAATTCATTAAATTAATCTAATTCGTTTAATTGATTGAATGCCTTAACAAATTAAATCACTAACTTGTCTAACAAGCATTGGTCCTAGTCAGCCTTGTGTTGACCGCGTCAAGTCTCGGGTCAATGGTTAACCTTGACTTTGAATTTGACTTTGACCAAGCCGCAAAATCATTTATTCTCTTTTCAATTCTCGATCCATACCTTTTCAGTGTGCGATTTTATAAGTTCTAATTAGCGAGGCCGTGGGTAAGAATGATTACTTCTAAACCGAATGTGAATTGTATACCTTTATACAATTCTCCCTATTGGCGAAGGCTAATTATGATTAACCCTTCATGTTTTCATTGCAGCAAAGATGGACATTGGAAGAGGAACTGCCAGGCTTATCACTTTGTTGTTTAACTCTAACCAATTGTTTATACATTACTTGAGTTTGATAACAATGAACTATTGTAGCTCATGTTGCTACAGAGACTGGGAACAAGTAGGATGCTCAAGAAGGATGATTGTGCTAAGATTTGGATCATTTAGCATGTTTCCTTTGTTCACCTCATGGAGGTCTTAATAGTACTTATGAACTTATTTAGTATATTTGGTTATATATAAAGTACTTATTTACTATTTTCATTTTTTAGAAGATAGTCTTATAGTTTGTATGATAAAACCACTAGGTTGCTTATATATATGACTATTCGTATTATGATAATATGTTGTTTGACCTCTTTATGTTTTAGATAAATGTATGGTAGTTTTACTCATAAGTGTCAAACAAGTAATTCTAAGTTGTGATAATACAAATTAGTCCTCAGACCTAAGACATCACAGTTGTATTGTGGACGAGTCGTTTATCTTTGAGAACACTATATAGTCACATTAAAAGATATGACTTAAAGGTGCTTATGGGATATGCGGCAAGTTCACAGAGGCATGTGAATGTATAATAAGGAATTTCTACTCTTAGTAAAAAGGGAAAATACTCTAGAGATATGATTCGTTTAATCTTTGGCTAAAATATAGAATGAGAATTGAAACAAGAATGTTTGCAATCATATTCAAGTGAATCATATAACCTAGAAATGTTGCATTAGGGATTTGACACGAGTTAACCTTATCATAATAATGTGACATAAAGTATTGTTTTAGACAAGGACTGAATTGCATTGCAATCACAAACTGACTAGGTTCTCCAATGAATTCTATTTAGCTTGGGCAGCCATGACATTCTGCTCAATGTCAACCATGGTTTGTGAAAGTCCTGTAAGGCATAATTACAATTAGCCTTCACTAATAGGGGAGAATTGTATGGAGAAATACAATTCATACTCGATTTAGAAGAAGTTAGACTTACCCACTGCCTCACTAATTAGAACTTATAAGATCGTATACCAAAAAGGATTGGAATAAGAATTAGACAAGAGAAAGGGATTTTGTTGCTTGGTCAAAGTCAAAGTCAAAGTCAAAGGTTAATCGTTGACCCAACGCTTGATACGGTCAAGAATGGTTGACTAGTACCAATACTTGTGAGACAAGTTAGTGACTTAATTAATTATGTCATTAAACAAATTAAACAAATTAGAATAGTTTAATTTAATCAATTAAAATTATTGATTATTAATTGAGTCCCATATGACTTAAGGAATAAAGAATTGGAACATAGGACTTTAGACACATGTGACACATTGAAGCATAAATGTGTAGGACCAAGAAGGCCCAAAATTAGGCCACCATAGGGAACATGCAATTTTTTATTTTATTTTAAAGAAAAGAGAAGGTAATCAACTAACATTGTCAAGCTTAAAACTTAAAACTACCATTTACCTCTTGAATACTTACAGACAGAAGTAACTCATCTATATATTTAAATTAAATGTTTCTAATTAGATGTGCTTGTTTTTGTTATGCGGAACCTGTCCTCAACTTTTCTTGTATCTGCGTTCACGAACTGAAAAATGAAAGAAATTTAGAGAACATCAAGGTCTGCCAAAGTGAATTGTACACATGAATAGTAAGATAAAGAAACTGATCTGAAGTTCAAGCAGAGCTGAGTGTTTCTGATGAACACGAACTCTAAGTATAATATGTATATGAAAAAATTCTCTCCACATATATGTTCTGTAGAACGAAACTCAAAGGTCACATACTGTCATACTGACCTCTAATTTCATCTCCTTCTTTGTGGCATATCCTCTGAGATAACCAAATTGAGAAATCCTCGATAAGCTCCAGGGATTATTTACCTGAACGATCAAAATCCAATTCCATGTCAAGAACAATGAAAGAACTACGGTTTTTCTGTTTCATTTTTGTCTGAAAAAAAGGGATGCAACATCTTAGGAGCTCACCAATCCTACTACTACTCTTACAGAAATTCGCTTAAGTACATGTATATACGTATATAGTTGTAGAGAGAGATACTTACACCAGTTGGAAACTTGTCCAAGGTAAAGCCAGCCATACCAATTACTGCATGCACTGGGGCACTGTAGTTGCTATGATCGTATGTGTCGATCCCATTTTTATCTTTAACAGGCAATCCCTTGCATTGACTCTTATAAACCGTGCAGGTTCGCTCATAGTTATGGACATGACCAAATAGGACCAAATCAACCTAGTTCAATTTTCCAAAGCAATGTTAGAAAGAAACAAGAAAGAACCAATTTGACACATAACGAATCCAAGAGCTTTTTTTTTTTGGAAGAGAAACTCTTCTATTTTCTCCATGTCGAAATAAGTAAAAGACACGGAGAAGATGAATAATGAAAAAAAAAACAGAAAAAACAATCAAACCAGATAGCTAGCGAGGGATGTTAATTACTTTGCTTTGAAGCAGTAATGGTTCCACTTCAAAAACAAATTTTGGATCAACATTGAGGAGTCCTTCTGCGGAGGTATACATGGGTCTATGCCTGCAACATTTGAAGAAGTCACAAGCATTTACTACAACATAAAAAGATGGGGTGGAAATCATGGGCTTATTGAATAGCTAGAATCTAATTGAAATTATTGTAATCTTGAACATAATAATCGGATTAACATAATTTAAACTGTAAATTGTGTATAATTTAACATAGTCCACTTCTTAATCACTGCAATGTAGAATGAAACAGAAGCACACAAACACACAGAAATAATGGTTACAACACTACAAAAACTTGAAGGTATTTCAGTTACACTTACCCCATAAAAATCAACCAAGGAGTTTTGGATCGATCAACAGAGGCCATGTCCCTTCTCATCCATTGATACTGTAAAGTGTATCCATTGCATAGAGTAACAAAGCGAAAAACATCAAATAAGCTGAGAATACCATATGCTAGATTGGATAAATATAAGGCACTACAGAAGTGCTTAATTATCTTTACCTGCTCAGAATTTTGGGACCAGTCATGCTCAGTGGATATCACCGTGATGTGAACACTTGCTTGTTCTATGGAATACCATGGCTTATCCTTTGCCGGGGTTGGCATCGGAAAGTAGGTCTCATAAGGAACACCAGATTCTCCACCTGAATCTGGGGTTATGTAAACTGATCCAGTGTCTATATAGTCCCTGAAAAATGCATGGTCAAGCATATTGTTGATGCATGCATAGATTTGGATAAACATCATTAGGGATGGAAAACACAATCACACACACGTACACGATTTTGAATGGTTCACCCATAATTAGGTTACATCCACTGTGGAGTTTCGAATATGTATTTGACTAGGAGAGAGCTTTTACATTGTACATTTGAGAGGCATAAAGCCTTAGTAAAAGAAGAGAGCCTTAGAGTGGGTGAGGCAAAGCCGGCCTTCTCTGCTTGCTGTTGCCTCTTGCTTATGTACGCCCTATACAAGTAGGCAAGTCATCATGACTTATGGGATTTAGGTATATGGCTCCCCTTGATTTGGGATTCTAGGCATGGAGGAGGTATGGAGAAGGCATATGAGAAGGCATGGGCCTTCCTTAATTGGTGGGATTTCATTGGTGGGGTATAGGCGAGGTCAACTTGGTGTCAACATTTGTTTTAAGGAAAATCTTCTGAAAGTTTCGTGTGTTATGTGGTTAGCCTGCTGGTTCATTTCTAGAGTTGATTCTTTATTCAAATGTATACGGTCTAGTAGATTAAGCTTGACAACATAACATGTAAGATGTCTAGTAAGAGAACATTAATATGCATTGCCACTATAGTAGAAAAGAGCATACCTCTCATGGTTTCCAATAGCTGTCATGTAAGAAACTCGAGAGGCAACGGGACTTATTTGGTGTAGGAAAAAATCCCATTCAACTAAAAATCCAGTGGCGTAGCTAATGTCTCCAATGTGGAAGATAGAGTCTACATGCCCTGAATTTATTTCGTCAGCCATTGCCTGAATTACTGAGAGGGATCCTGGCTATTCATGCCAAGCAAGATAAAAAATCTGTTTAGCCTTTACTTTTCCTTCAAGGTGGGCATAAGTAAAATTGAAACAAATGCACTGTATATATATTGACAAAGTATTTAGGTGTGTGGATGAACCATATAGTTATTGCATTGCAGTACTAAATGTATAATATATACCTGAATGTAATGCTCCGTCGAACCATCACGAGGAGCCTTTCCCATGTCACCGAATGCGAGAAATTTGAGTTCATCAGATCCTCCTGCTGGGGGAGTCCGGAATTGGATTTCATTGCTCCAACCAACTGAATCACTGCAATTTATTTTCCATTCCCACATACATAAGGTCACTTTGTGTTCAAGAATTGGTAAGAAAGATGAAAAGGCTCTTTATAACTAATGCAAAAAAATATATTTTGAGCACTTCCATCTTGCACCACATCTCATTGAAATTTTGGAATGGTTCGAAATCAAAGCCTCAAATAGCCTCGGTTGCCTTTTTCTTTTTTCAAATATTTGTTTTGTGGTGGAAATTAGATAGGGGGTTTATACATACCTTCCATATCTATAAGAGAAACTAGATAAAGGCTTAAGTCCTGTCATTACTGCTGTATGAATGAAGCCTGGGTCATGCCATCCGAAGTCCTTGGCTGGACTTGGTAGAGCTGAACCTACAATTTACAAAAGAGGTACCCAAAAAAACAAAAAATTGAGATCAAGGAGACCTTCAACGTGAAAACCATATATCATAGGGTAATAAAGCTAGTGTAACTTTTAAAATTTGTATTTTGCATGATCACATCTTTTACAGAGGTCTCGAGATATAAGAGATATGGTCAATTAACACGGTTATTAAATATGATACATGTAACGAGAAATGCATATATGGATAGAGGATGTTGAGGAACTGACTTTGCATGTCATCTTGTGAAAATGTAGTAACTTGTGACGTCTGTTTTTTTCCGTCACCATATTGTACTTGCTGAGGTTTCTGATCACCACTGACCCATGTTAATCGTATCTGCACCCATAATTCATGTTTCATTGTGTTAGAACTATGATCTCACAAGTTGATAGAACCATCTCGGAGATCTTTTTTTATGGGAAAAATATACGAAAACAGACATTTTAATCAACTTGCTTTAATTTTTTTAATTAAATTAAGCTGTTCTTAAAGCTCAAAACCACTTTGCAGCCTTCATAAGTGACTTCACACTAAACTTTATTAGTTCAAGACGAGAATCACATAAGGGGGAAGATTTTATTTTTCAATTTTCCATATTGTGTTGCGAGACTGTGAATATACGTAAATTATTGCTATGTTAAGAATTAATAGTGAAAATAATATAGAGTGTTACCGATGTTCCCGTCGAATCTATGCTCGATAGATGTCCATATAATGGCTTATTTGGAGTGGCAAATCTCACAGGGCTTGACCTCTTCAAAATGCAAGGTGCCTCGAATCCACCAGAAAACAACACAAATTCAATGTCCGTTCTGATGTTAATAACATGAAATGATAATGCACCACCACAAGTGGACACCAAGCATTGACCATTCCGATACTGTTTGCATTCCTTCTTCTTGCAACTCAGATAGTCAGGATCATTGCTCATGTATGCTGCCTGCTTTCAAAAAATGTCAACGTACTACATATTACATATTACAGGTCAGTCTGTTTTGTTATTCTTCTTATCAATGTGAGATAGAGGGACTCAAAACCTCCTCCGACCTTATAGAAAAAAATCACTAAATTAAGAGTTAGTTGATTCTTGTTTTAATTATATTGATCGTTCACCTACTTTCTAATCAGGTGATTTAGGGCTCGTTTGAGAATCACTTTAAAGTGGTTGAAAGTGATTTTATGGAGAAGTGCACATACAGTGGTTGAGCCAGGATTTCACATTAGAGGGGGCCCTTCATAAAATTTTAAAAAATAATTTGAATAGGAGTGTTAAAGTGCTAACAGCTTAATCTACTTCATAATATCATTTGATATAAATTAATAATATATACATTCGTTACAATCATAATTGTAATGAATTTATTTATTTATTTTTAGAAACATGAATTTCATATTTTAAATTTGTCTACACTATTAAAGACTGAACTTATAATAATTTATATTTCAACATAGAGAAGAATACAAAAAAAGTTCATAAATCCCAACACTAAGCTACCCAACTCAATGAACTCATACATGAAAAAAGGACGGAAATAAAAAATTTACAAAGCTTAAGTTAAAAAAAAGATAAAAAGAAAGAAATGTTGTAAATTTAGGAGTTTTTAGTGCAAATATCATAAATAAACCTAAAAAATATAAGAGAGATAAGTAGGTAAGAGATCAAGAAGTTTTATGGTTAATTTATAGACAATGAGAACCTAATATATTGTTTATTTGAGAATAAATGTCCTAAAACTAATCTAATGTATAGTATATATACATATAATTGGAAAAAAATGGAGTGGGGGCCTGGGATCACACTGGTCCCTTAATGGCTCTGCCACTGTGCACATAGCAGGTGCTTCTCCATAGAATCGTTTAAAAACACATATTAAAAAGCATGAGAGGTACTTCTTCTTATACCTGATTTTGGCTCTCCCAAAATCACTTCCAAACTAAAGAGACAATTATACTAAAAAGGACAACAATATCTAACTATGGTGAAATCTAAACATACGTATATATTTTTGTTAAAGCCAAGTACTTAGGGTTTAAGGTTTAGAGTTTAGTATATGGATGAGGAATAGGAAAACACAATCCAAACAGTTGTATTGAAAACTCACACTTATATATTGGACAAACTAGGGCTCGTCAATGGGCCGGGCCGGGCTAGCCCGGCCCAAATTTCATGGGCTTGGGCCGGGCCGGGCCGGGCTTTAAAGAGGAGAGAGAAAATATCGGGCCGGGCCGGGCCGGGCTTTTTTAGAAAATTCAAAGCCCAAGCCCATCTCATGAGTCGGGCTTGAAAAAGCCCATCGGGCCGGGCCGGGCTAAGCCCTACGGGCCGGGCCGAAATGGGCCTAAAAAATAATAAGAAACATATGATTTTTAAATTTATGTATGCATTTTCATGTTTTTGTATGTAATCACATTTTCACGTTGTCTTGAGCATATTTCCTTGATAGATTTACATAAAACAAAAGAAAATACTCTAATAGATTGGAAAAAACAACCACTCATTAAATATAAAAACAAGATTGGAAAAAACCAATATAAATACTCTAATAGATTTACATAAAACAAAAGAAAATACTAACAACTATAAATTTAAGGATAAAACTTGTATTAATTTTGTGCTCATCATTTGGTGATGTGTTAAAGAAAAGTATGATTATATTTGGTGGTATGATTATGTTTGGTGATATGATATGTTGTTTGTCTTATTATATATATATATATAATTGTTGTATTAATAAATGACACAAATTAATGTGCTAATCATCCAATTATAAACTAGGAATGAGTAGAATTCAATGGAAACAAACACAATTTTTATAACAAGTAACACACAAAAAAAAATTAAAAAGGGGGATTTGTCATTCAAGTGATGTAATCCTAATCCTAAACCCTTATTTATACATAATTATATATGTATGCGGGCCTAACGGGCCGGGCTTTTGTGGGCGGGCCGGGCAGGGCTTTCATGGGCTTAATCGGGCCGGGCCTATGGGACGGGCCGGGCTTCAAACACCCAAGCCCAAGCCCGGCCCAAGCCCAAGCGGGCCGGGCCCTCTCAAAGCCCATAACGGGCCGGGCCGGGCTTTTTTTCAATGGGCCGGGCGGGCTCCCGTAAGCCCATGAGCCCGCGGGCCAAATGATGAGGCCTACGTCAAAGCAAGTGTATCGTTGCTTTGTACGTAAATGTTTATGGTTTTCTTAACGCCACATTGTTAGCAACGTCGTGCATTAAAGACAACATGGGCTGCCCCATGCCCAGCCACTTTTTCCACCTATGTGGCCCTTAAATTTTTTATTTTTGATATATTTTTTTTTCTCTTTAGCTTTTATTCATTACAATTTAATAATTTCTGTTACTACCGAAGATCAATTCTTTTGGGACCTAACTATTAATTAGGACTACACTCTTGGAACCTAACATAAATCAATACTGTTACATGAGTATGATCACTGGTATAACTCGTCCATTCGTAGAATCTAGAACCCTTTTTTCATGCCGAGTTTTTCGCTAATACGGGTTTCGCATGCAAAAAATAATTGAAAACAAAAAAGTTGGGTAGAAAAGCTGACAATGAACTTTAAAAACGAATCCAATATCGCCATACAAAGAGGAGAGTGAGTGGTGTGTATCATTCGGGTACCAATTTAACATAATTTGGCATCGATATCTACCAAATCAAAGCTGATATTCACTTTCATTCATTACCGTATATTTAATTTTTCTGTTTTTTTTTCTTCTTTATATAATAAAACAAGGACCAACATAGAGAAAAAATGATATATATGAGTAATATGAAAACGATAATGTTGTTTACCTTAACAGGATAATGGCAGAGAAGAGGAAGTTTACTGAGATCGCCAGTCTGTGCATAGAGAATCTCATTTAAAGGACAGCTTGAGACACTGCATATCATGGAATAGCCAAAAATATATAACAAATTGAAATAATATGAAGAAAAAAAAAAGCATGAATAAATTCGTAGATAATTAACGTATACAATTATATATATAGAATTCATACTCAGAATGAGAAGGTGAAATCATGGCGACCCAATCGTCTTTGGAAGGATTGAGGACACCACTAACATTGACACTCAAGAACTCTTCATCTCCAAGGCCAGAAGTAGTTGAGTTAATACTAATTTGCAGATAAGGGCTCGGATGAGGACACTCAGCCAGAAATCTTCTATTCACAACCCTAAACTCAGATATTGCTGTGTAGTTGAGGTGTTGAACTTTGGAGTTGAAAACTAAAGGGTGCAAGGATGACGACGACGACGACGACGACGAAAAAGAAGCAAATGAAGAACCCAGAAAAAAGATGAACACAAGGAATGACAAGTTGAGAACAACAGAATAAGTGCTTGAGGATCCCATTTGAAAATCAAAGTGGAATTTTGTGATTATTTTCTAAGGCAAAGAAACAAGGTTTATATATAAAGAGATGGTTCTTCTTCTTGCCTTGGTGGTCATGGCGCTGTCCTTCTGATTTTCTTCCTTATTTATTGGTTTCCCATTTGAGTACGCATGAGTTCAATTTGGAAACTTGGCTTCATATCAGAATTTAGGGTTTGACAAGAACGTGGCTTTTTGTTTCCATTGTAGATATCTTTTGAACAGAGATAGACAGGTCATAGGTGTGTACATGGGCGAACATTACGTTTTAAAACTGTTGTTTCTTCACGCAACGTTGTTTGGTTATGTTGATACCACGCAGGTGCGGCTGGGCCGGTAACAACCAATTGCGGCTTTAATTTTGTTTGTTTTTTGGTTGGTCTCTCTTTTTTGTGCGAAGGCACAACGGTATTTTCATATTTATTAGAGGTGGAATTTGGACCCCAAAAACCCACTACTTGACACAGTCGGTTTTGTCTAGGGGTGGGCATAGGTTGGGTTGGGTTGATTTTGGTCCCAACCCGATATATAGCGGTTTATGATTTTTTAAACTCAGACTCACACATTATTAGGCCAACTCAACCCAACTCGACCCTCTAATGATCTGATTGGACGATTCAATCGAGTTGACTCGAAATTGTGGTTATTTTTTAGACCAAACCAAGGTGGTGTTGTAAAAACGATATTGGAGATCTGAACTGAAACCATCAATAACCACAACCAATATATATATATATATATATATATATATAGGGGGCAGATCCGTGGCACCACAAATTTGACACAAGTTTTGACACAATTTTATAACCATTAGATTAGGCTACAATGAATGGTTAAGATTAAACAATATATATATATATAGGGGGCGGATCCGTGGCACCACAAATTTGACACAAATTTTGACACAATTTTATAACCATTAGATTATGCTACAATGAATGGTTAAGATTAAACAAACTGATTCTTTTTCTTTAAATAATTATTTGTTGAAATTAATTTTAATTAACTTACTATGATATTTTATCTCTCTTCATTTATGTTTTCCCAACTTCCTAAAAGCATTAACATTTTCTCTCACGTCATCTTCTTCTTCATGCGTTTACTTCTGTTTTTTTTATTCTTCTTCTTTCTGCCTTTGACAGTTTCTATCATTAACAGCACTAAACAAGTAGCTCTTCTCCCTCCCATATTTCACATGTTAGCCATTAATTTTTTACCCCTAAGATTTCAATCAATCTAATAAATAAATGGTATAATCTAATTCTCTGAGTATGAATTTCTTTTTTCTGATCCTGTCTTTTTATCGTTTGGGGTTTGGTTCAACTACTGTCTTTCTCTATCTTGCAGCAAAATTTGGAGAGGTTTATCTTGCAGTCTTGTATGTTGGTTCTTTTGTTAATTTCTTGAGCTTTGAGTCTCTAAATCCTTGGATTACTTTCTATTTAAATTTCTTTTTCCTCTTACATTTGTGGATTTCTTAATGTCTTTTACCATGAGAAGTTCAAGTTCATTCTCAAACAGTTTAGCATCTAACTGCAGCAAAAAGTATCCATAGCTTCTTAGCACAATTAACATTAAGATTTTCAAACAATCTCTAGAATATTTAGCGAAAATTGCATGAAGTGTTGGAGTGGAAAAATCTGGAATAGATCCTTGCGTGTTTGGAGATCAACTCAGAACTTTGTTTCCAGATAAAGGAAAAAAATTTAAATCAGAAAAAAGTTCAAACTCAAAACGTGAGAATAAATGAGATTGGAGGAGATGGAGAGATTATAGCCTACATTTATGTTACCTTGAAAAGTGGTGAGTTTAATATTTTATTTTATTTGTTATGTTATCAAAATAAAATAAAAATAATAATAAAATCACATTTAATCTTAGACCTTGAAAGTGCTTGCATCTAAAGGCTATAAAATTGTGTCAAAACTTGTGTCAAATTTGTGGTGCCACGGATCCGCCCCCTATATATATATATATGTATGTATGTATGTATACAATCCCCTTTTATTGAGGGATCTCTCAAATAATTTTATTTGAGAGACACACTTTAGGCTCCCCTATGATTTTTTTTTTCTTCCAACGATCCAAACCATCTATTTTTTAAGTCTACATACATAGATCATCTTTGCAAAAAATTAGATAAATCGGAAACCGTTTTGACATCCAATTGTATCCTACAAAATCAATCAATATGGTGCTTTAAGAAAATACTAAAATTTCAATTACTCAATTCAGTGGTCAAATGATATCGGATTCAAGTGATTTTTTGTAGAGATGATCTTTAGATGAATATCTACAAAATAAACTATTTGGATTAGTGAAATAAAATGCGGAGTAGGCCCTATAAAGATGCCCCTCGGATAAGTTTATTTAAGGGATCCCTCAATGGAAGCTCTCTGTATATATATATATATATATATATATACAGAAATTCTCTTATGCGGACATC